AGAGAGGGGTAGCTACATGCAGAAAATCTGCCCCCTTATAATTATAGCAGTCATGAGCGAGGGGTAGCTGCATGCAGTAAATCTGCCCCCTTTATAATTATAGCAGTCAGAGAGAGGGGTAGCTGCATGCAGTGAATCTGCCCCCATTATAATTATAGCAGTCAGAGAGAGGGGTAGCTGCATGCAGTAAATCTGCCCCCATTATAATTATAGCAGTCAGAGAGAGGGGTAGCTACATGCAGTAAATCTGCTACCTTTATAATTATAGCAGTCAGAGAGAGGGGTAGCTGCATGCAGTAAATCTGCCCCCTTTATAATTATAGCAGTCAGAGAGAGGCAAGTAGCTGCCATGCGAAAATCTGCTACCTTATACCTTGCAAGCAGTCAGGAGAGAGAGGGTAGCTGCATGCAGTAAATCTGCCCCCATTATACCTCATTATAAAGTAGCTCGAGAGAGGGTAGCTGTATGCAGTAAATCTGCCCTTTATAATTACTACATTATAGCAGCTCAGAGTATAGGGTAGCTGCATTCAGTAAATCTACCCCCTTTATACTCATAGCAGTCAGAGAGATAGCTGGATGCAGTGCAAATCTGCCCCCTTTATAATTATAGCAGTCAGAGAGGGGTAGCTGCATGCAGTAAATCTGCCCCCTTTATAATTATAGCAGTCAGAGAGAGGGGTAGCTGCATGCAGTAAATCTGCCCCCCCTTTATAATTATAGCAGTCAGAGAGAGGGGTAGCTGCATTCAGTAAATCTGCCCCCCCTTTATAATTATAGCAGTCAGAGAGAGGGGTAGCTGCACGCATTAAATCTGCCCCCTTTATAATTATAGCAGTCAGACAGAGGGGTAGCTACATGCAGTAAATCTGCCCCCTTTATAATTATAGCAGTCAGAGAGAGGGGTAGCTGCATGCAGTAAATCTGCCCATATTATAATTATAGCAGTCAGAGAGAGGGGTAGCTGCATGCAGTAAATCTGCCCCCTTTATAATTATAGCAGTCAGAGAGAGGGGTAGCTGCACGCATTAAATCTGCCCCCTTTATAATTATAGCAGTCAGAGAGAGGGGTAGCTGCATGCAGTAAATCTGCCCCCTTTATAATTATAGCAGTCAGAGAGAGGGGTAGCTGCATGCAGTAAATCTGCCCCCCCTTTATAATTATAGCAGTCAGAGAGAGGGGTAGCTGCATGCAGTAAATCTGCCCCCTTTATAATTATAGCAGTCAGACAGAGGGGTAGCTACATGCAGTAAATCTGCCCCCTTTATAATTATAGCAGTCAGAGAGAGGGGTAGCTGCATGCAGTAAATCTGCCCCCTTTATAATTATAGCAGTCAGAGAGAGGGGTAGCTACATGCAGAAAATCTGCTACCTTTATAATTATAGCAGTCAGAGAGAGGGGTAGCTGCATGCAGTAAATCTGCCCCCATTATAATTATAGCAGTCAGAGAGAGGGGTAGCTGCATGCAGTAAAT